CTCAGTCCACTCAGAGATGGGTACTTTGTCTTTATACCCATCATCAGCTAAAAGTTTAACAGAAATAAAGTGTTCAGATAATCTTAGTGTAATTGTTTCAGTAATACATACAATATTTACAAGTCAAGTGAATTTGATTTTTCTTCTCAAGTATAGTTTTCGAAATGGTTTTCATAAAAGTAGTATTATAATAATGTTTCTCACCTTTTTGTTCATTAGCACGTGGGAAATGAATATACAAAATCCCTGTAAAATAATTTTATTTCAGAATTTTTCGTTTCAACAGATTACTTTATTGCTCAATCTTACACAAAACGCCTTGTTTTAATTTTTAAGAAAAACATATTGATGATTGAAGATCACATTCAATCAGTTAACTTTTCAGCAATATTTTTTTATAACACAAAAGGTAATTTTCTAAGAAGTATACACAACAAACCTGTAAGGAGTTGGCTATGATGAAAATATACTGAAATATTTCAGCACTTTCGTTTACAGCTAAGACTCCAAATATCCAGGTAACACCTAGTACGGGTAAAAGGGTACCAAGAGACCGCAAGCTAGACCTATCGGTAGAACAAAGCATTGATATATAAGATAATTTTCTTACTATCTTAAAAAAAATTAAATAATGGAAAGTATATAAATAATTGCTTGTTCTTAAGTTCAGATATTGTCTGATAAATATATTTTAAAAGATCCTTTTGATTCAAAATGCTTATGGTAATGTAATAATATTTGTATATAGGTTACAACCAAGGTCACTTTTTCTGTCATTTGAAGACTTTATCATGGCACTGGAAGCACACAACAGTCTCTATCTTCAGGGACACCATTATCATAATATTCATCTAAAAATTATTTTGATTACAAGTTAACCAAGTCAAATTATTTGCACTTGAAAGAACTTTATTAGTTAATGATCATCCAAAAGCAATTTATACATTTTTATTTTAAAGTGATAATCCTTACAAACGGCAATAATACAAACTGGAACAAAAACAATATACGAACCGGACTTTCCATTGATGAAAGCTGAAATATTTAAGCACGTTATTTTAAAGAAAGATAAAGTATGCGTATACATATATTTATCAAAACCCCGTTGTAAAAGGTAGAACAAAGTATTGATATATCAGATTCTTTCTGGAATCTAAAAAAAATTATATGTAAAGTATATAAACTGATGTGTTACTGTATTAACTTATAATTTGTAGCATATAGGCTTTCCAAAATTCACGTAAAACTTAATTAGTGTTTCAAACCGAATATGAAGTCTCTATCTCCTTTGATTCAAAAGTTATTGAAAGTTCAAAAATAATATTTTTGCATATAGGTTACAAAAGGTCACAAGGTCATACCTTGGTCATCATTTATATGAGTGGAGTATGCACACTAAATATGAAATATATATCTTCCATGGCTCAAAAGTTACGGCGAAGGTTAACTGTTTTAAAAAAATTATTTTTAGCATATATATAGGTGGCATAACTAGTCCAAAAACAATAAAAATTTCTTTACCCCATGATCCCAAATATGAAGTCTCTGTCTTTCATGGACTTCAAAAGTTATGGCTACGACAGGTTAAAGTTTGCAAACAAACAGAGTAAACAGACAAACAGAAAAAGACAGGAAAAGATAATATACGCCCCGGATGAAAATCCAAACACCCTGCATAATAATGACTAGTTCTTAATTCAGATATTGTCTGATTTAATATATTTTAAAAGATAAATGCTTATTATTTTCTTTTAACACGTACGCATATTTTTTTCTGAAGTGAAGACTTTGTCATGGCATCTTTTTTCTGGAAACACAACACAGAAGGGGACACCATTATAATTATGTATCTTTTTTATCTATAAAATTCATTTCCAAACAAATTTAATACATTTTTGCTATAAAGCTAATGATCATCTTAAAAACAATATATACATTTTTACTTCAAATAATAAACCTTACCACGGCAATAACACAAACTGGAACAATGAAGAGAAAAAGGGAACCACTTTCCATTGAGAGCCAGCAGCTGAAATGATTTATTAGTGCGTTATTTTAAAGTAAAAGGTAGAAGGTATTAGGTTTTAGGCATCACTCAATCACATTCTTTCGGAATCTAATTATATGTAAACATTATAGAAACTGTTTCATTACTTATTACAATTTATTATTTGTTCATTGGCCTTCGAAGTTTGCGTAAAACGTACTAGTGTTTGAGATGGTAGCCATTCCCCCAGAATGCTCCTAAAGTAATTGCTGCAATGACTAATGGAATACCTGAAAAGAAAATTTACATTTCATATTTTATTAATATGAACTATATATTGAAATATATATGACACCGTTTCTTACAGACATACTTGAACTGTTTCATTACCAGATACTGAAGCACAACATGTCCAAAACAAAAATATATCTCACCCCATGATCCCAAAAGGAACCATTGCACTCTTGATTTGGACTTGAAATTGTTGGCTACATACATGGCGTAGAATGTCACTGTAATACTCATACAGTAGTAGATACCCATACTCAGCATACAGAAGAAGGTCACCAAGAACAGATAATGGATAAGAGCCGTAATGAAAATACAAACACCCTGTAAAGATGACAAATTCGTGACATTAAATCAAATAATCAAATCTAAAATCCTTTCACATTTATGTTTTTTTTCTTTTAAACGACAGTCAAACTATGTTCTTATTTCGGGTCTCATCTTTTTCGATATATTATCGGAAATGATGCACAAAAGTGGAAATGGACAATCTAACATAATGTTATGTAACCCTTCTTTGGACCAGTACGGTTTTTTTTAAATAAAAGATAATACATTTATTGTTAAAAATTAAAAAGCTTTATTCACCTCATTTTCCGTCTTCTCTACAGCTGCGATGAAGACAATGTAGGATACGACAAGCGATCCACAAAGATTAAGCATCATAATATTTTGATCACTCTTTACTTGTCTGAAAATCAACAACAATTATTTCATTTAAAAATACTCTTCAGTAAAGTTTCCCTTTCAAATCAGAATTCAGATTAAATTTGAGATGTTTCAACAAAATCACATATCGTACGTACTTCCAAGTCAGAACAAACAGCATAAACGTTAAAACTGTGAAAGCAATGGAGATAATAACACCAACGAGAGATAACGTCTTCAGCGACGCTCCGTCTTCTGTCTCCTATAAAATAATCATTGAAAATGAAAACTGGATGAAAAGTACATCTAGAACACAACTATATATTTCAAACAACAGAATTCAATCAACATATGTTAACTTTTTGGAAATCTACAACTGGTTGAATTGCTAAGCGATGTTGTTGACTTCTGACGTTACGCTTTAATAGCGCTATGGAAAAATTAACGTAATACTTCTTATAGTGTTACTTGCTTGACTAGTACCCTATCGCTTTCTCTTTGTACTTGAAATACGAGTTTGAAAAGTCGTAGGCTACTTATTAACATATATGGGGCGTTGGATTTGTATATATAAATAAATTTTATTAATTACTCGAAGCAGTCTTAAACGCATTTTTATGTATCACCTTTAAGCAGAATGAATTTTACACGTCAATTACGTCGACTGAACAAATATGTTGAACCTCCTAAATCTTGCGTTAAATATTAATGAATGGAGTAAATTTATTAATCTGACATTTAATTTGACCGTTTAGAGTAGCACATTATTAACTTTTGATTTTTTTTTTGATCGTTGGGGAAAACAATTTGACAACTCGAAAAAGGCATTGTCTTATTTTTGCACGACATTTTAGACGCTGGACATTTCTGTTGAACTTGTAGTTCAATTACTAGCTCCAAATCATGCAGTTTGATATATAAATCAATTAAATATTTCAAATCCATAGGAAAAGCACATTATTTTGATGTAATTTGTTTCTATTTAAACTTTCTTGTAAATGAGTAAATTTATTGTTAAATATTCATATGCACGTTTTTAATTAAAAGCGTTATGTAGAGATTCTTATCTGTAAAAACTATCGTTTTCTATTTCTTGCAAACATTTAATGTACAATCGTTAATGAAGTCAAAAACGACATAGATTGCTATTGTTTTGTGAGGAAAATGAAAATTCTAGATTTACTTTTGAACGATCTACACTCAGAAAATGCGCGATCCCTGCTGAAAAAAATGTAACGCGTTACACGCTTAAAATACCTTTTATATGCGTTTCAAAATTCTACTTTTTGCATAATAACTATTTAAATGTTATTTTCTTACTAGAAACGGAAAGTTCTGTTGAAAATCTATATCCATTCATACTAAATTCATCCATATTGCGAGTATTTTTTTTTAAGTGTAAACAGGTCAGATTCTAAAATTGTAGACTGGCACCAACATCGCGCGTAACGTTTCATACATAACTCAATATTCTGAAGTGCACAAATTACCAAGGAAATCTAATGTCCACAATCTTTTGCCCATGGAGTATTGGTACCAAAATAAAATTTAGATCCAATGTTATGAAACCGACTATATGCACTTACTGAACTAATATGACGTTTGTTTGATTTACTATTAATTAAATGATTCATCTCATAATTTTCAAGTGTAATCGAAAATGGGGGAGGGGAGGGGGTTAAACTTGTAAACTTGTAACATTTGTTGTGAACCTCTTGTATTAATCAGATAAAAGGAATTTTCCGTTGTGTGTACAAAAAGACTTTATGGTAACTTTAATATTTGCCAACGACAATAGAATTTAAGAAATATTCACTTGACAATGAAGTTATTAATTGGCCCCAACTGCCTATTGTCAGCAAAATATGAAAAATATGTGACATTTTTACCTGGACTTGGAGTTTATGCTCCCCCCTCCCTTCAGATGATACTCGATCTATGTAAAACACTTTAAAAACAAAGCAAGCCTTTGACATATAAGTTAATGATATAAAGGCATCAACAATATTGATTATTGTTATGATCTAGTCTTTTAGAAAATGGATTATAGAACAGATGCCTCTGTTTTGTAATGTTATGTACATGTATGCAAAAAGACAAAGTTATTAAGGGTATGCCTTCAAAGACATAATGCATAATAAGTCGATCAATTCAGAATGTTAATTAGAGCAATAGATACATGTACACATATTTGATTTTCGCATATAAATTTATGAAATTTTCGGAAACTAGCTTTAAATACTTTGTATGACTTTACCTAGACCCACAAGCACCTTTTTGATAAAGAAGAAGGTATGGTTTTAGCTTTATTGCGCCCTAAATATGTAATGAAATCAAAAAGTTTTGAAACTGGCTTAAATATTAGTTAAATAAATGACTCTGATAAATCAGAAAGAATGCGGAATGAATGTTTACCATTTGCAAATATGACGTCATTTTTTACTTTTTCATTTTCCAGAAAAAGCCTCAAAACGGCACATTTCAATGATTTTCCTTTAGAAAAATTGTCCACATTCGCCCAGTTTGATTTTTTGATATTTTGTGCAAAATTTATACAAATCACATATCTCAAGATCTTTGTGGGCGATGCCTGTGGACAATGTTTCTGAAAGAAAATTCCATTGAAAATTTGTCTTACTTTTTAAAAAACAAAAATGCAAATGACGTTATTTAGCATTTAAAAACACATGTGACAAAAATGACTTGTATGATTTTTCTGCATTGAATTTCAATTATTTAAAAAGCATGAGTTTTCAACTTTTACAAGTTTCATTTTTTAGAAAATACAAAATTTGTATGGAAAATACCTTCTTCTTTAACAATTATTTATATTCTTACAGGCGTGTAAGGTCTCATCAGGATGGCAAAATTAGTCAGATGGTTACACTGGCAAACTGTCCTCTTGTTATTTGTAGAATTTACTTTGCATCCTTCTTCGGACCATTTACTTTTTGAAAATAAATCTAATTATCAGCAAGGATCAAATAAATATATCTGTTTAGTTAATGTATTTTGCAAAGACAAACAAAAAAAAAAGCAAAACTATATCTTAAAAAAATATTTGCTGGTGAAAAGCTTATGTTTAAACATTCATTTTCCTTGGGTAAAAGACAATTTAGAGACTACCAATCTAGACGTTCGTGTTATTCATAGTTAAGAAATCTCAAGACTTACTTTGTGATGAAGTCCCATGACACACAAACTGCTTGAAGGTCAGCACTTTCGTTCTAGACAGATGGATATTCCAATATACAGTAGAAATATATTATTTAAGAAAGATTCTACTACACAAATCAAGTTTTCTTTTTGTGCAGATCGTACCAAAGTCTTTAGATTTGACAATTACAGCAGAAGCTTTATTTTCTTTATATAAGTTCACACTTGAAACTAACATAGGTATAGCCATATGACTTTGATATAAGCAAAAAAGTGATAAAGAAATTCCACATGTTTGAGTTTCTACAAACCATTTTCAAAGTCGAGTATGCAAAGGTCAATGTCAGTGGAAAAAGTAATATTTATCGCAAACTACCCAAAAACAGCCAAAGACTGTTTGAAAAGAAGAATTTAATCAAATTAAACAAACTCTGTTTGAAAAGAATAGGGAAAACCTGTTCCATTTTTATATGATCTAAATAAGTCACAGAATTATACATGTTGTTCAAAAACTTAAATATTAAAATGAATGCATGTAATATTCACATGAAAAATCGAATATCATTGTAATTTTGCACATTCGTGTCCTACAAAATTACTGAAATAGGGCGATCCAGAAAAATCTTAACTCGAGTTTATGCTGGAAGGCCAGATTAAGAGGAGGGGACAGAATGCCCAGATCTGTCTGAGTAGTAAGCGACAGGATTTCAGAATTAACGAATTCTTTCTTTTTCTTCTTTTTTCCTTCCGTCACTTCGTATGAATTTTCTTCTCTGGAATTGTAAAATTACGGAACATATCTTTATTCACCATATTAATATTAATATTTATATTTCAATATGAAATCCAATTTTTTTCCAAACGGTATTTCAAGTAAACTAGAGGTCTCTAAACTAGAATGGAACATATGGAGATAACGAACAGTATTCCAAATCCCCGAAAACCGAAAAACCTTTTAAAAGGTTCTGAAATGTCGCTAAAAGCAGATATAATACCATTGCTTGAATTTAAATATATTAAAGAGATAGAGGTTGTTACATCTCATGATTACGCCAACAATAATAATAATTGCGCTAAATATTAAACTTCTGAGAGGAGCACTGACTTTTACAGTTCATGGCTTACTTTTACACTAGGACAATATACGGAAGCTCTTTTACAATATAAATATTTAGCTCAACATTTCATTCTACACATATAAGTTTTTCTCTTTAACTTCTTAGTTGGGTGACCTTGACACTAATACATGTACATACAACTGTGGTACATATATAAAGGCATGCCTATCAACGGTTTCATTCAAGGAAAAAACGGGTTATTTCAAAACATTATAAGTTTTTTTTAAAAGTTTATTTTTTGAAGATATTTCTTTGTTTTATGTGACCCTTCAAATTATGTTTATTATACTGTCAAATCACATATTGACCACTAGAAAGGTTTTCATGGTTTGAGGAAAATCAGTTCTCGGGGATTTGATTTCGTGGATCAAAATTTAATGAGTTTGTATTAACATTTTACATTTCGTGGTGGACAAAATTCAGTGCTTCTCGCAAAAGTCCAAAACAAGAGAATTAAACCCCCACAAAAATTTGTGTATTTCAAAAGTGTGTATATATTTTCCCTTGCCACGGTAAATGTGATTTTATTTATGAATAAGGCAAGAAATAATTTAATTCAATGAATTATGGAATAGGCAATTTTAAATTGCAAAAAAGTAATTAACATGGGTTATGTTTATCATAATTCAGTACTTTGTAGGCAACAACCCATAAAGCTGAAGAAAAACTTAAGATATTCAATATACTATATGTATCAAAGAAGAAATGAATTGCAATATTTACGTTTGTGAACCTGAATCTGTGGGTAAAATGTCTGATATCGTCTTGTATATGACAGCCACGTAAGTAATTGCTGAAAGAAGATTGCCCAGAATTAATTGTCAAGTTTTATTAAATCTAGCATTTAAAATTTTTTTTAAAATCATGTTTATAAATAACTGAGTTAAATCTAGAAGAACGACAGTAAAACACATACTGATTATACTCATAAAGTAGGATCATTTATTTGTTTAATGATCTTGTAATAAAAAAAAACAACAGAACTTTATTGACTTACGTTTTTCACGCAATTCAAGAAACGTAGAATATTCTTCCGTATCAGTTGAAGTATCATTTGGTGTTTTCTCGGTTTTTTCAGGAAAAACAATTCCTTTTTCATCTACCTTTGTTTTATCAACAGACACCTCTAAAAGAAAACATTAAAATATATCTTACCATGTAATCATATAAACATACATATTTTGCCGATAGAATTTACTAATATAATTGCCTAACGATTACCAAAATTTTTCCCTTTGAATTTTGATGTTGTTATGTTTTCTCTCTTCAAAACAACTTCACTCATTCGATCCATATTCTTTAAAAGGGAACTAGCATCCTTTTCAGTCTGTAAGGATTTTAAGATTAAAAATACAATTTAGCTGATATATAAAAAATGATTTGTTTCATAATTTTATGACAGCTTTTAAAGTATGTTCTACTACTGTAATTATAAAAAATGGTAGTGTGATTTATTAATTTTAGAAATGATAAAATTATATCTCCTTCGCTACCTTGTCGCTCACAGCAGTCCAAGATTTGGAATTGTTTGTTGACAAAACATTGTCGACAACCGCAAAGAAGGCCTGAGGGGAAGATACAACAATTTTCAGTAATTTAGCACGAAATTTCAATGCACTTTTTTTAAATAGAAAGTCTAGTTTTACACCTTTTTGAATGATTAAAACTTTAAAAGTCAACACATTATCAACAATATCCTGGATACTGCTTAAAATTATTCATTTAAAAGTTTCAGACCCAAGACAAGAAAGTTCGTTTTTTTAATATATGAGACAGATTTATATTGTACACCGTAGACTGAGAAATTCTTTAAATTAATGAGTTATTGCAACTACATGTACATGTATAAGAAAACAGTGTCCAAGTTTTAAATCAATTACTTCTCTTTTTGTCTGAAATTTAGACATATTTGATTTTATATGGAATTCATTGTAGAATAAATTGAACAAAGTTGAGTTGGACATATCTAATTATTTATTTATATATAATCATAGATATACTTGAAGGTCCACTAAAAGGAGAATCCTGTGTTTTGCCTCCTGAAAACGTCGTTTTCGAGGATTTATTTTATATATATTTTTTAATTTTATGATGCAAAAATACTTTTTCTACGCATAAGTAATGGGAGTATTCTGTTAAGCCTTCGGCGTTCGTTTGTATATCGTGTGTAGAATGTATGAATGATTTAAATATTTTTTGTTCAAATCTAGTCCAAAGCTGAGATAGGGCTTTACATAGAAGTTATTGTCGAACAGAAATAAGGGTAAAGCTTCTTTTAAAAAAACAATTACGAACAATATGCAAGCATTTCTACATGCAAATACATGCATTGAAGACTTACAAGACAATTATAATTATTAACACTTTGAAAATTGTAATAAATTTATGTACATTAATCTAACCTCTTTCTGCACGTTGGCACTTGTCATATTTGTGACGTTGACAATCTTCTCTAGGATGTCAAGAGAGGAGCTAATATCCCCGGCACTCAGTTCACTTCTTTGTGACGTCAGATTCTTCATCTTCACTAATGTGTTGTTTACAGCCTCGTCTACATTCTTAGTTGTGCCATCAGCAATTATACTATCCAACTGAGGATATAAAAAATGAGATTTATACAATTATAAAATTAAACCACAAGGGAAGCATTGCAGATGACTCATCTTAACCATTTAGGTATTATCTTTCTTCATTTTAATATTTACTTATTTATTTGGTCCAAATATACGCGAGGATTATGATATAAACACAATTGAACGATGTCATTATTTTTTTTTATCTTTTGTTATCCTCTTTGAAAGACATGTGACCATTTAATTTAAGAAATTTAAATAATGTTGTTTATATTAATATTTTTGTCATTACCCACCAAATTTAGAAAAAAAATGTTATGGAAAATTTTGTTTGCTTCTAGAATAAAAGAAAATACATTTTTAAATTTAAAAATTCCATGAAAAACTTTAATAAGATTTAGTTTGATGAAGAGGCAAGCTTTTCGTAGAACATTCATAACGTCATATAAATTGATTTCTATATCCATCAGATTCTCACCTCTTCATTGGCGTTTACCAAAGCGACATCAGTACAGTTAATGAGATCGGGAGATTCCCAAAAACCCTGGAAATTACAATATCTGGTCGCAGTTCCTATGAAATGAAAAACAACAATAATCTCTCTCTCCCTCATTTCATTTGAAGAAATGGCTTACAATTGGCGTAGGTAGAAATATATATAAATAGCGGTAAGAATTAATTTTTTAACTTATTGTTTTGATCATTATGGTTCCTTATGCATTTATCTGTGAATGGCAAAAGTTCATAAAAAATCAACAATAGGTTTTTGACTATGAATTATTTTAATTATTCCAATAATCGCTCATTTCATTGAAGAAATGGCTTACAACTGGCGTAGGTAGAAATATATATATAGCGGTAAGAATTAATTTTTTAACTTATTGTTTTGATCATTATGGTTCCTTATGCATTGACTTGTGAATGGCAAAAGTTCATAAAAAATCAACAATAGGTTTTTGACTTTGAATTATTTTAATTATTCCAATAATAGCTCATTTCATTGAAGAAATGGCTTACAATTGGCGTAGGTAGAAATATATATATAGCGGTAAGATTTAATTTTTTAACTTATTGTTTTGATCATTATGGTTCCTTATGCATTGATTTGTGAATGGCAAAAGTTCATAAAAAATCAACATTAGGTTTTTGATTTTGAATTATTTTAATTATACCTTTTTGGTTTTCCGGACATGACTCCTTTTTAGTTGTTCCAGCAATCGTGGATTTCCATTTTATATTGTCAAACTCATCGTCATCACATCTGATTTGTTCTGTTTATTAAAATCAAATTAGATTAGATTGAATAAAATATATTTCTATTTCCTTATAAGAATCAATGGTGCCCTGTAACTTGCTTTTTATATAAAATATGAATAGAAACATTTCTTTACGGATAAAACAAACATATTAAATAATCCGTTATGTGAAACCAGACATGTTTGACATACATGTACCTGGTTTTGTAACAGAAATAGCTATAGAAACAGATACTGGATCTGGATAGGTAGAGTGGGAACACGAAAAGCGTCCTGCGTCACCAAGATCCGCCAATTCTTTCTTTAATGTAGACGATACGTTTGTTGTACTAATGTTGAATCCAGAATCTAAAATATTTATATATATGCAAAAGTTGTCACAATATTTCCATTTTTGTGTGATTTCCACAACATTGAAATGTGCAAGAGGAAACAACAAAAACGCTTGAGGAAATATATTTTGCATACCCAATAAAATATAAACGCCATCTTTCTTCCAGACTAAACTTCCGTCAGATAAACCTGTCAAGGATTTAGGATTGATAACGTCACATCGAAGATGTATACTCTCTCCACTTTTAATTGAGAAATCATATTGTGGTGCCATCTGCAGCAAAAGTCTTGGAAGTACTAAAAATCGCAATAAAAATCTGTTAGAGTATATGAAGTAAAAAAAAACCCTCTTATTGTAAAGGTTTCACCTATAAAAATCTTTTTGTGACGATTTTATTAATAGTATAATTTCCAATAGTAACAATATGATTTTCTTTGAAATACAACCCCATAGTCATGTAAAATATAGTTTTTCCGATTTTTATCGAAAAAGAGCAGCCTTACCAGCAAAATTTAAAAAAAAAATTCAAACCGAAAATAATTCTTTTACCACCAAAATAAAGCTGAAATATTGCTGACTTTGGCGTAAAATAAAATCAATAGATTAATCTTAAAAATTCATTTACTTTTTCAAAAAGTTTAATGTATAACTGGTCATCACGTGTACAATCCACAGTAAATAAAACATCAAGCGGGATCTTTGGTGTTTTTTTCTAACCGAGGTCGTTACGAAAAGGAAATCTAACCCTCGACGTAAGGATCAACCGTAAGCTTACTTCGCTGCTCTTGAGCAAAAAAATTTAGCTCTGCCTCACTAATGCGACTCTCTCATAAATAATAAAATCTTACTAAATAGATTTTAATCAAAAGTGATACGTATTTAAGAATCAGAACTATTCCATTGTCTGTCTGACATACTTTCTATTTATCAATAAAAATATGCATTATGACTACTCAACAGATGTAAAAAAAAAAAAAAAAAGTTTTGCTTGATCGCAGTGCCCAGTCTTTTGTTGTCAAAAACCTTTTTGCTAATTGACTCTGGTCAACAGGTAAATAATTTAATCTTACATAGAAGAAGGGAAATTGACTTTTTGGCATAGGTGTTATTTCGGTACTTTTTGAGCTTTAGCGGTCAGTCTAAATTGTTTACATTAAGTATTTAGCAATTTACCCTCTTGGCTATCTTTTTGTGTAATTTGTTCTCGGCTAAGGACAAAGAAACTGAGTGCGCATTCACTTTTGCGCATTAACTACCTTTTTGGCAGTTTTTACTTATATGGTTAATTTTCACACTTTTTGGACAATTCAGTTTTTAATTCTAAATTCTGATTGGCTAATATCTACAACCCGCGGTGTGGGTCTCCGTATGGAAAGTGACCCGACTCTCGGTCATTCCATGCAGAGACGCCACTGAATAAAGACTTAAACTTATATTTGAATCCTTTTCATTTGGGTTGTAGGTATGTAGCACGTTTTATCAGATTTCTTTCTTTAATTTCTTTTATTTTTATAAAAGTTATTTTCTAAATTTGAGCTAAGATTGATTAATATTAGATACTTTTAATTTGGGTAAGATTATTGATAAGTGAAATAATTATTTTAATGTCTTATTATTTAGTTCAAAGTTGAAATTTTTTTGCTAAGGAAATGGCTAACCTTTGTGATTTTTATATGCACCTGTTTACCTTTTTATATTAGTGTCGTTTAAATGCTTTATCTTGATTAACTTAAAAATCTCCGGAAACTTGTCAAATATGTTACATCATGTTTGAATTTAGCGCCCTTGTTTATTTTTGGAACTCTTTAGTCAAAGAAGTTTAATTTATTTTTAGTAATTGTCAAAAGGCATTTCGGCATGTTGTTTTCCATTTCTTGTAAGTAAATAACAAGCGATCACGATTATTAATATTTCTGTGTAAGGTAACAGGTCGCATAGATGAGTTGTTCATTTATAACTTTGTTATTTGAATTGATTATTTGTTCACAGCGACAAAGTACGTATAGCTCGAATTATCTCTGTCATTGTTTATATACTGTTGAAGTTTTATAGAAGTATTGTAATGAGTAAAGGATGGAGTATTGTTAAAGTAAAATGCATTGATTATTGTTCGTTTGATTTTAAATATTGTCATTCCATGCAGAGACGCCACTGAATAAAGACTTAAACATATATTTGAATCCTTTTCATTTGGGTTGTAGGCAGTTACACATTTGAGTGGTCCTCCTACACTCGTACAGGACTTGTGTGTCTTATAAGGGAAAAGACGCATCTGTCACCATCTCTAATATCCTGTTTCCTTATGCTTTATGTACATGAATATGTACCTTTTAGTGTTATATTCCTGACTTCATTGGTCAAACCTGTTAATGCTTCCACTGTCCAGTATCCTATGAGTAAGAGAGAAAAATCCATTGAGCAAAATTGTCCAAAAAAAAAAGTCAATGGATTATGTTATATAAAGAATTCTTCTTAATTTACCTTCATCCCGTTGTAAAACATCTCTGATAGTTAGGACATGCAGCGTTGTGCCATTTGCTGTTTTGGACGACGTCATTACATATCTGGATGCTGTACTGCTTATTGAATCTCCATTGCGAGACCACTGTACAATGAAACCAACAGGACCAATAATTTCTGCTTGGAACCATACTGACTTTCCCTCGCGTATTACTGAGTTTCCACTCTTATAAAATAGGATTTCCAGATGTTCTGTAAATTTAAAAATAAGCATGTAAGAAGACATTTTCATTTGCTATTGTTTATTTTTTGCTGTTGTTGTTTTTTTGTTTTATTATAGATGTATTCATAAAATCTCAGAACTTATTTTCTAATTATTAATAACCTCAAAAAGTTTTGATGGTAATTTGATATTTTCATTTTTTTTCATTACATTAACATATTTTCTTTTTTTATAGGCATAAGAAATAGAGCCATATCTTTTTAAATCATATAAATGTTACATGTAATCCTTAGATAATTTCAATGTCAAACTTTATTAATTATGATCAATGAAAACAATATAAGCTAAACATTGAGAGAAGTAATATGATCAATAAAAAAATACCAACCATCCTCACAATATCTGCCCTGGTATCCAACTGGACAAACGCATGTAGAATTTATACAAGTCCCTCCATGCTGGCAAGGACATGGTTTATCTTTATCTAAAATATCAGACTAAAAGATTTATTGATCTTTAATTTTTATGCGCCCGGATCGAAAGATCCGGGGCGTATATTGTTTTTGTTCTGTCTGTGTGTCTTATTGTTTATCTATCTGCTTGTCTATTTGTCTGTTTGTCTGTCTGTTGTCAACTTTAACCTTTGCCATAACTTTTGAACCTTGAAAGATAGAGATTTCGTATTTGGTTTGCATACTCCACCAATTAATTTCTTTCAAATGACACCAAGGTCAATGACTTTGATCTTGACTGTGACCTATATGCTAAAAATAGTTTTTTTTTTCGAACTTTGATTCCGCCGGGCGCATTGTTTTTAATCTATAAACATTAATGCTTTTTAATGCTAAAATAAAAGTGATCCATACTTTTCATGTTAAAAGGAATACAAAATACAATCAGAAGATGTGAATGCTAAAATAAACTCAAATTTTTGTAGTTTAAAGAAAGCAAAGAATTTTAATGATATTTGTTCTTATACGTTGACATCATTTGTCCATGTGAAGTAAACAAATCCCAATATACAATTTTTTTTCGTCGAAAGGGACAACGTTCAATCGTATACTTAATTAAACGTTTTCATACCTGATAATGTTACATTTATATACACAGAAACATCCTCAGAGTTGGAATAAAGTGAATGTGAGCAGGAGTATCGTCCAGAGTCACTCAGTTCGGCTGATGACTTATATAAAGTTGTATTCGTGCCTGTCTCAATTACACTAAAGCTAGAATCTACAAATATAAAGTCATTTGTTTCATAAAAATAAAATGTCTCCAATAAATTAAAGATCCCTCCACAAAAAAATAATAAAAGTTTATTTTAGAGAAATCTTTAAAACCTGACGAAATATCTTTCCCATCTCTCTTCCAGTTCAGTCTTAGGCCAGTAGAGTAAGCTGGTGTTTCCGTGTATAAAGCTTCACATTGAAGTTGGATAACTTCTCCAGTCTGAATCGACAAATCAACGTCTGGTGTTAAACGAAGCGAAATTCGTGGGAAAACTATTCAAGAATGAAATAAATGCTATTAAATAGTGCATAGGGTTACATTTTACATTTTAAACCTTCACTAGCAATATTCTGAGTTCTACGTATTCAGATCCATAATTAAAAAAATATACCATATAGGAAAGTCTAAAATTGTCTTTAATTCAAAGAGACAGAGGTTTACATAAAATATTACAGGTTTTAAAAGTTTTATTTGTTTTTTTTTAATTTCACTCTGTATTTCTCTTGGCAATTATTTGTTAAAAATAAAACAGAATATTTAAATAAATACACTACCAAAACAACAATTGTAATCAAAATAAAATTTCTTTAAAAAAATTTAAACTTAATATGTTCATAGTTAAAATGCAATTTCTGAAAACAACAGGAAAAAAAAATGTATCCTCACCTTGCAATTTAATACCTTTGCTTGCTGTTGTCAGCCCATTTGTTGCTCTTATATACCAGTCACCTGCATATAACATATTCATAGTTTTGAAAACGTCGGTGTAATGTTTCCTTCTTGTTTTTATCAAATATATAAAGTTTTTTTAATTCTTTCATATATATTCATAGTTATGAGACGATACCTTCATCCTGCAAGATCACACTTGATATGTTTAGAACATAATGCAATGTATTATTGGATTTTGTTGAGAATGTCACACTAAATCTGGATAAAGCATCAGTTATGGGATTTCCATCGTGAAACCATTGTACGATTAAACCAGATTTGTTCACTATCTCAGATTCGAACGAAGCTGCTTCTCCCTCAATCAAAAATGGTTTGTTAATTTTCAGGGTCAGTATTTCTATTGGCTCTGTGAATAGAATATAGTGTATTCCAATCAATTAAACTTAACTCGATTGTTTGTCATAGCTATAACTTTCTTATACATAAAAAATCAACTAAGAAATCAATCATGAACAAAGTAAGAATTACTTAAATACCTTTCTTTTTGATTACCTGGTTCAGTGACATTAACATTAATGGAAACATTAATTGGGTCAGGATAAGCAGAGTGTGAGCACGAATAACTTCCAGAATCATCTATCTCTGATGACGACTTCCTCAACTGTGTACTTGTATTCGTTATATTGATATGAAATCCTGTATTGGAAAACACTATGAATAATTTGAACTGTATTTAATGTTAAATTGATTTTACCCTTACTTATGGTTTTCAAGGGCTTTTGGGAATTGGTGTAAAATTTGTTGCTATTGGATTTTAACATACGTTACATAATAAGCGTATCTCAAATAGTGATCTAGATTCTCAATAGTTATTATTTCATCAATATCTATGCATATACAAAAATGTAGAATATGCTTAATTATATTGTATTATTTCCTACAAGTAGAAATAAGAACACGCAAAATTGTCGAGTGTTTATAAATTATTTCCGCATTTGCAGAAAATATTTCATCTTAAAGGTTTTTTCGAAGGTAATAAACAGTTGTTGCTTGCATAGGAAACATATAAGGATCTTGCATAGTAGTACTCAGTTGTAAATTTGGATAATCAACATAATTTCACAGTACGCATGTTGTATGGGAGCAGTAATTTGGCTTACTAGTATATTGATAAATTAATTTTTTTTCTCTAAAATCTGTTTTTAATCCATGTATAAATATATATATTCCCTACACATACATACATGTATGAATGAATACATATATACTACTCACTGTCTTGCACCATCGATAAATTAATTATTCCTTAAAGTTGCTCACTCAATTTGAACAACATTTATTTAAAGAGTGTATAGCAAGGCATCGAGCAGAGGTAGAGTTTGACATTTCAATCTAAAGCTGTTGATTTGATTTATTTCTTACCAAAATAGAAACTAGATCGCAAATTAACTGACGGTAAGTATGGAGCAAGTGAAACAGAGGTTTGTACTAAAAAGGTTTGATGAAAGTAACACAGCTTTTGGGATCTTAAATCTCATATGCACTTCCATCTTCGCTAGAAAAGGGTTTTTGATACGCTACTCTCCTCATGAACCCTTGGCATACGGTGTTGATAGAAATTGGGGTTTTCTTGGGATTCAGTACACCCGGTCGACCAATCAGCCATTGTAAATGACGATATTTGCGTTCGGGATACTTCTTGACTCTTTAATCTCGGAAATGAAAAACGCAAGTAAACAAGGATCCGCAAAGATAACATTCAATTCTAAGAATAGCCATGGTGTCATCCAGTATCTTCTAAATATGTGATTAAAAATCTATATTGAAGCTTCAGATTTGTTCTATAAATAATAGATAAACATAACTCAATCATTGCTTCTTAATTATTCCTGAAAATACTTTGATTTAATTTTTTTTTAAACACGTGTCTTTATTTCTGTAACTACCTGATAGATTCGCGATCACGAGACGGAAAACAATCCATCATATGCCAGGGGTTTATGAGGAGATTAGGGTATCAGAAACATTGGCTACCGGAGATGATGAACTTCAGATATTCAAGTAAATACCTGATAAGATTTTCTGCCCATCTCTCTGCCAGATTAAACTTCCACCAATCAAATTTTGCAGGGATCCAGGATTGATGACGACACACTCGAGAACAATGCCTTCTCCCCTTTGAATCGAAAAATCGTACTGTGGTGTAATCTGTAGCTTCAGCCTTTCTAAAACTAAATGCGAAATATAATTGTCAAAACTTTGAGATCATAAGCTGTACTTTTAAAACAGTAATACAGTGTATAGACAGCCGTGCTTTCTCTTTGATGTAATTACCTTGTATTCTGATACTCTTTGTTTCAGTTGTCTTCCCATTTGATGCCGTTATATTCCATTCACCTAAGAAAACAAGTTTACTTTAGTATATTAACATATATTACTTTAAAGTGTTTTCAAAATTTTCTTACATTCTTCTTTATACAAGTTACCTTCATCTTGCAGCAA